ATATATATATATATATATATATATATACACTCATGCTTTTATCAGAAGCTGTTGATAATAACTAGTACATGAATGAAATCGGTACAATACCTATACATGAGTATTTGCATCTGTTGTGTCAAGACAACAAAACTCTGAACAAGAAACATTGAGCTTTATGAACTAAAAGAGAAAGAAACACTTGGGTTATTTCAAATACCTCACAAATATTAGACTTAACTACTGTTAATCCTATAAGATCTGGCACCATTTTAACATTCCTCTGCTCATGTTACTGCATTCCATTCAAAATTTAATTAAACCACTTTACTATCAATATATTTTAATGAAATTATTATTATCAAGTATGTTATAATTCAAGGTTTTATATTATCTAAGTTATTGTTCCTTTATTTCAAAAGTAACATAAAAAAATTTTATAACTGTGCTTCTTCTTTCATGTAAAGTGCTCGCAGTTACAAACGTAAATTGGTATAGAAAAAACTGCATGTGTAAATGTAGACGTTCACTTCAAGACGTTTAAAGTACAGTATATATAGGTTGTTTACAAATAATTCAAAAACTATTCTAAGAGCCAGTCTTGGAAGTAGCGGTTTTAAAATTTTCCTCAGTTGAAGATACACCACGCCCACTTGCAAAGTAGAAGATGTGTTGTTAAGCAACAGTTTTAAGTTGAATGCCATGATTATGGCCAATAAAAAGAGCTGATGACACTGTTCTTCCTAAAGAGGTTAGGAAAATTAAATGATGTTTGCATTTTACAGAGGAAGTTGAAAAAAGATTAGTCCATTGTTGAGAGTGGTGCCCCTAGCATTTGGCTATTTTTTCTCACCTTATACATATTAGTGTAATAGACAGTGAAATTAACAAGTAGAAAAACATAAATAATCATTAAACCTTTCAAATATGAATTTTAAAACAAATAATATATAATTAACAAAAATCTAAAAGTAAAACCTAAGTGGGTTCAATGATCTTGCACTATAAAACAGGCGAGAGCAACCATTATGCTATAAGCTAAAGCGGACTCACTGCCGATCATAATGTTATAGCACCCGCAGGGACCTGTTGAAGTGTGTAGACATAAATAATAAAAGATAAAGAATTGGGAAGGAAGATTAAACATTAAAAATAAAAAACTTGTGAAAGGGTAAAGAATTGAAATTATACATATGATCCAAAGAAGAGATAAAAGGTAAGTATATATTTCCATTTCTTAATTTTAAACATTTTGTTGCACTGTACATTATGATAATAGTGAGAGTTAGTGATATGGTAGCAAAAATGGAAAATAAAATATAAACATTTTCCTGAAAAGAATTTGTGATATTCATTCAGTAGGTTCTGGAGATTATGTAAGTGAAACGTGAAAACTGTAAGATAATAAGTAGCATTTTCATACTCAACATGAAAATCACCTTGCAGGTGAACTATTCAGAGTCCAAGTGCAAATAACTACATCAAATAATGAATTTGTATTAGAAACAGTGGAAAAAAATCAAAATTAAATGTTTTATTCTTTTAAAGTACATGCTTTTAGAAAAGTCATTGTCAAATTTCAAACAATTTTGTCCACTACTTTTATTTTTGGAACGAAATATGATGAGAGCAATGTCAGCTGCTAAGGAATCTAGTTATCAGTAGTCAAAGGGTTAAGAAACTAAAGAAATGTTGGTAAATGAGCCACATATCCTTACTCTTCTCAAAGTTCTCCTGAATGGTTACAAAGTCTTACATCCAGTGCTAAGACAGTATAGTACAGATCGAGTTGAAATTCACGGTATACGATTATCATGACATGCTGGGCACAGGTACAAAACAAAATTCACTACCAGGTGGTGTGAGCCTATGTAAAAGACTTTATAATCCCCACTAAATGTGAAGTTTGAATGGAGTCAGTTTTATGGAATCTTTGAGAGACATACTTAAATCTGTTCTGGGAATAGTTAGAACACGGTTATGCATGTGAGTATATTTCTGGTTGGAATTTGGTTATTGGTTTGTCAAGTAACAAAAGTATCAACAGTATAACATTCCTGCAGATGATTCTGTGTAAAAGATATATCACCTGTCAAATTAAAGCTTGGTGTATAATTTTGCTTTTATACTTCAGTCTTGGTTGGAGTTTATTATTTATTTTTTCATGTAGGAACACCATCCACTGAGTAACATTTCTACAGATTATTCTCCATAACAGATGTTAATCTAGTATATCAAGTGATGAAGGTCTCGTATAATTATATATTTGTATTTCAGTCTTAGTTGGAATTTAGTAGTTACTTTGTTACGTATCATCAATTTCGCCATAGTAATATACCATATCAAGTGATGAACGTCTGGTACATAATTATGTAATTATATTTCAGTGTGTACAGTTCCATCCCAACTCTAACTACATTGCCACTGGGTCCAGTGACAGAACTGTACGGTTATGGGATGTTTCTAATGGTAATTGCGTCCGCTATATGACAGGACACAAGGTAGTGTGTTATTATTTCAATAAACTAGTTGAATTTATTACAGGTCATTGAACATCACAAAATCTATTATTAGGTTTCTGTTTTAAACTTGGACAATGAATAAGCTTGTGTGCATTTTTTTGTCCCAAATTATATTCATTGAACTGTGAAATTTTAAAAAACAACTTATTGTTGTGAAGTAGTGTTTTTTCTATAATTTATATATCTAGTTAAGTCAGATGTACTCAACTATTTCTCTATTCTGAAACAATCAAAGACATATGTCAGTTCTATGCATTTCTATACCTGCCCCTAATTCAAACAAAGCTCTTTATTTTTAACAGAAACTGTTGTATTTTTAGGGAAGAATCTACACACTGGTTTTCTCCAATTGTGGACGATTCCTTGCTTCAGCAGGTAAATTCTGTTTTTTATTACGAGTATGCAAGTGCTAAAGCATTGAATTTTGAGAAGCATTAATTGATCTTTAGCATAAGCTAATTAAGTTAACATTTGTCAGCACATGCACAATACACTGGTATTTACCTTATAATATGTTCTAATGTTGTGACGATAAATAAAATGGCTGTTAGCAGATGAACCTTATCATATTTTATCTACGATTGGAGAAGAGGTCTTCCACATTGTGAGAATAGACTGTTGTCAAGAATTTTTCAAATAGCATATGACATGCATATGTAATATGATTACCTTTAAATTACATGTTTTTATGCTTTTCATTACTGATGGGGCCTGATATTGTATCATATTGACAATTTTGTTTTGTTTTCGTGTGATACTATAATCAATGTAAAGAACAAATCAAATACATCGAGCGAAATCACTCATTTTCTAAAAATCCAGTAATTAATGGGATTAATTGTTATGTTGATGGTACTTCTATTTTCACATTTTTGGGCACTTCATATTTATTAGGGACTCTACAATTAACAAAGTTGTGGACCCACAAGAAACTCGGGGCACAAATACTTTAGAAAAATCCATTTAAAAATCTTCCAGGATCTATAACCCCATTTGTAATGTAAGGCTAAATTTCATTACACTTGGAAATAATTGTTTTTAAAAATAATTTTGTGTTTCAATTAAAGACCAAATTTATAGTATTTAAACCTTATATGCTACAATTTAGAGATCCTGTGACTTTGGGAATAGGGACTGTATTGACCTCTGAGAAAGTCTGATTAAATTGTTCCTCCTTATATGATTTTTTTCACACATTGAAAATTTATAGTATTTAAACCTTATATGCTACAATTTAAAGATCCTGTGACTTTGGGAATAGGGACT